TTTGGTTTGGGGTTCAGGGTGTAGGGTTCAGGGTTTAGGGTTTAGGGTTTAGGGTTTAGGGTTTGGGGTTTGGGGTTCAGGGTTTAGGGTTCGGGGTTTAGTGGTGTGCTTGGGGTTAGGGTTTAGTTTGGGCTTAGAGGTTTAGTTTTGAGTATGGGATTTAAGTTTTTTTTTTTGCCTTTTCAGGTTTTGTCCATAGGGCAACACAGGATTTCAAAGTCGTGCCTTAGGGGTCTTATGGGAGTTAATGGCCCTAAACCCTAAACCCTAAACCCCCAAACCCCAAAAACCCAAAACCCCTAAACCCTAAACCCTAAACCCTATGGGACTTCGGAGCTTTAGTAGGGGGTCTGGAGTGGCTGGGCGGTTTGGGGTTTAGGGCGTGGTGTTCAGGGTTTAGGGTTTAGGGGGTTGAGCTTTTATCTTGAAGTTTAGGAAGTAAGAACTAGGCTACTGGGTCTGGGGATTAGGATGTTGGGTTTGGGAAAGGGTTTCGGGGATTAAGGTTTAGGGTTAAAGATAAACTTCAAGGGTTGAGGTTCAAGGAGTTTGGGCTGCGCACGGTTTTGTGGCACCCTAGACCCCAAACCCTAAACTTCCTAGACCCTAAACCCTAAACCCCAAACCCTAAACCCTAATCCCTAGACCCTAAACCCTAAACCCTAAACCTCAAACCCTTAGCCCTAAACCTTAAACCCTATGAACCCCTAGACAGCCCCCAGAGCCCTGACTCTCAGCCTTTCTCAATCCTTCATAACCCAAAAGGGAGCCGCCTCACACTTCAAAAAACCCCAAACCCCTAAACCCTCAGGGTTTAGGGTTTAGGGTTTAAGGTTTAAGGTTTAGGGTTTAGGGTTTAGGGGTTTAGGGTTTAGGGTTTAGGGTTACCCTAAACCCTAAGCCCAAAGCCCAAAGCCCGAAAGCCCTAAACCCTAAAGCCCTGAAGCCCTAAAATCCTAAAACCCTAAAGCCCTAAACCCTAAAGCCCCAAAGCCCTAAAGACCTAAACCCCTAAAAGCGAAAGCCCTAAAGACCTAAACCCTAAAGCCCTAAACCCTAAAGCCCTGAAGCTCTAAAGCCCTGAAGCCCTAAAGCCTTAAACCCTAAAACCCTAAACCCTAAATCCGAAAGCCCTAAACCCGAAAGCCCTAAACCCTAAAACCTAAACCCTAAAGCCCTAAACCCTAAAGCCCGAAAGCCCTAAACCCTAAAGCCCTAAAGCCCTAAAGCCTAAAACCCTAAAGCCCTAACACCCTAAAGCCCTAAACCCTAAAGCCCTAAAGCCCTAAAGCCCTAAAGCCCTAAACCCTAAACCCTAAAGCCCTAAAGACCTAAACCCTAAAATCGAAAGCTCGATCCGAACCCCTAACCCCTAAACCCTAAACCCCTAAACCCTAAACCCTCAACCCTGAACCCTTCCGACAGCCTTCATAGCGCCGCCTTCCGAGGTATTCGGGAGAGTTTGGGCCGGAGGAGACCTGCTTTCCTCAGGTTTTTGGGGTTTAGGGTTTAGGGGTTTAGGGTTTAGGGTTTAGGGTTTTTGGGTTTTTGGTTTTTGGGTTTAGGGTTTGTGGGTTTAGGGTTTGTGGGTTTAGGGTTTTTTGGTTTTTGGTTTTTGGGTTTAGGGGAGGGTCTCTTGGGTGCGGTGCTTTCGAATCTCTGAGGGGTTTTGGGTCTAATATAGGCGCCGAAATAATTACCAATACGGTTTGGGGGGTTCCTTGTTAGAGTTGTAGTATAATATGCCTCAAAGCCATTCTAATTATGAAGGCCTCTATATCAGCTCTAATGTCTTAGAAGTAGAGTAGGTATCTCGTAACCTTCTCGGAGTACCATAACCCCTTTTTCATACCAAAGGTTAAGCTTAAGCTAGCCCTTGACAGTGGACAGTAAGATTTAGAAGCCTGAGTAGCTACCAACATTATCCCGTAGGGTTCCTGGCCTAAACTCTGAACCCTAAGCCCTAAACCCTAAACCCTAAGCCCTTAGCCCTAAACCCTAAACCCTAAGCCCTTAGCCCTAAACCCTAGACCCTAAGCCCTAAACCCTAAGCCCTAAACCCTAAACCCAAAACCCCTAAACCCTAAGCCCTTAGCCCTAAATCTTAAACCCTAAGCCCTAAACCCTAAACCCTAAGCCCTAAACCCTAAGCCCTTAGCCCTAAACCCTAAGCCCTAAACCCTAACCCCTAAACCTTAAGCCCTTAGCCTTAAACCCTAAACCCTAAGCCCTAAACCCTAACCCCTAAACCCTAAACACTAAGCCCTTAGCCCTACACCCTAAACCCCAAGCCCTAAACCCTAAACCCTAAGCCCTAAACCCTAAACCCTAAGCCCTAAAGCACTAGTTGCAAAGCCGCCTCGGCCTCTTGGTTTTGAGGCCTCAGCTTTGCAGAGACAACAAAAAGGGAGGGAGAAGGAAGGACGAGGGGGCGGGGAGGGTTTAGGGTTCAGGGGGAACTTTTTAGGGTTTAAAGGGAAGGGTTTAGGGTTTAGGGTTTAGGGTTTAGGATTTAGGGTTTAGGGTTTAGGGTTTAGGGTTTAGGGTTTAGGGTTTAGGGTGAAGGTGAAGGATTGTGGGGCTTCGGCGGCAACTATACGAGAGCATACCTTGCACGAAGGACCAAAGAACAACTACACTTCTTCAGACCCCTAACACGTTGGAAGCCCCGCGTTAGCCAGTGAACTCCCGGAGCCGTTGTTGCTGTTTTCTGGTCGGCTAGGAAGTTGAAGCTCGCTTCATGTCCGATAGACTTCCCGTCCCTATAACCCTAAACCTTCAACCCTAAACCCTAAACCCTGAACCCTAACCCCCCTAAACCCTAAACACCTTATACACCCCAGACAAGGGTTTTTCGATTTCAGGTGCAGGGTTCAATCACGGTGGACGTGATCACCTTGCTCGAAGGTTGAGGGTTTGGTGTAACAAGCACGGCTACAAAAACCCGGTGGGGTTTAGGGTTTAGGGTTTAGGGTCTATGTGACAGTATGACTTGTTCTTCCACCGAGTAATCATTCCAGTCGCAGCAGTCGCACGCCAGGAAGTCATCATCAGCGGTTCAGAGATTGCTCCTCTGCAAGAGTTTGATGACTAAATCGTCGGCTTCTACACCCCCAATAGGCAATCTTCTTCCTTCGAATCTCATTCGCCGCTGGCGACAGTATACCCTTTTTAAGTTGTCTTTTGTTCGCTGGTGCTGCTTGCAGGTTGTCTGGGCTCAGGGTGCGGTTCGCCGTCGAAGCCGGAAATCCTCGTCTGAGTGTAGAGAAGTTCGGTTTAGTGCAAGTACCGAGCATCCTGCACTCTTTGAGGTATTTCGGCTTTTTTATCCGAAACTTGGACTGTCTGGGGAAAAGAGGCGTAGGGATGGGATTATTTGAGGGGCCTGCATAATTATAAACTCTGTTCTTTGGGCCCTCAATCTTGCACCCTAGACTCCAGAGCCTGAAGAAAAGAGCATTGAAACTCGCCCTTAAAACCGACTTCCTCAATCCAATCCCAGCCAGCAACTCCTAAACACAACATCCCGAACCCTAAACCCTAAACCCTAATCCCCTAAACCCCTAAAGCACCACACATCTGAAATCCTCAACCCGAACCCCCAAACCCCTGAATCCGATATCCCACATCCTAATCTCGAAACCGCAAAGTCCACAAGCTGAAAAGTCCCAAGAAATCCGACACTCATCGACTCCTTCTAAGACTTAAGCCCTACACACCCCCCAAAACCCTGAACCCTAAAGCCCTAGACCCTAAACCCTAGACCCTAAACCCTAAACCCTAGACCCTAAACCCTCAACCCTAAACCCTCAACCCCAAACCCCGAAGACGTAGCTTATGAAAGGCCCCGCGCTTTTAAGGAGTGGCGATCCGACGACACGGTAGCTGGAAGTGGCTGGCGCCTTTGCGGCGGCCAAGTTGCAGTTTAGGGTTCTGTGTCTAGGACATTTTCAGGTGGGTAGTTACCGTTATAGGAGCCTTATAGAAGGTCTATATACCTTATAGAAGCCTTACAGAAGCCCTATATACCCTAAACTCCCCACCTGTGGTTTCCTTTAACTGTGTGCTAAGGAATCTGGGGTGGGGTTCAGAGCTTAAACGAAAAGGGTTTAGGGTTTAGGGTTCAAGGTTTAGGGTTTAGGGTTCAGGGTTTAGGGTTGAGGGGGTTTAGGGTTCAGAGTTGAAAGTTCTGAGTTTAGGATACAGCGTTTTTGGTGTATATCGAGTTTACTCTGCAGGCCTTACAAGGTTTCCTAGGGTTTATCAGGGTTCAGGGTATGTTACTGTTTCTATAGGACTTGTTGAGCTGGTTTTGATTTCTTCCTGGTGGTTTAGAACTATAAAACTTACTGTTTAGGCTCTTGCGGGTTCAGGGGGTTTGAGGCTAGGATATGTTCTGTATTTGGGCCTCAGGGCTTTGGGGTTTAAGGTTCTGGGTTCATGGCTGATAGTTTCGGATCTAACCCGAAACCGTAAACCCTGAAACTTAAACCTGAAACCCTAAACCCTAAACCCTAAACCCTAAACCCTGAACCTTAAACCCTAAACCCTATACCCTAAAACGGAGGATTGAGACTTTAGTATGCAGGGTGTAGGGGTTGGGGATCTAGTGTCTCAGGGGTTAGGGTTTAGGATTTAGGGCTTAGGGTTTAAGGCTTAGGGTCTCAGGGTTTAGGGTTTAGGGTTTAGGGCTTAGGGTTTAGGGCTTCGGGTCTCAGGGTGAAGGGTTT